TTCAGAATTTGAAGTACAGTTTCTACTGAATGCTCACTGCTTTTTCACCATCATCAAGTTGAAAACCATAACTTGAACCATTGTCCTAAGTTGAGGACCATCTGTATGTCACATTTTGTTATTCGTTCATCAGTTGATGGATATTTGATTGTTTCTCCTTTTGCTACTATTAGTAATGCTGCTGTGAGCATTCATGTGTAAGTTTTTGTGTGGACATATCTCTTCAGTTCTCTTAGGTATATACCTAGGTGTGGAATTGTTTCATATAAGTCTGTGTTCAACGTTTTGAAGAACTGCCAGATTGTTTTCCAAAGCAGCTGTCCCATTTAACATTCCCACCAGCAATGTATGGGTGTTCCAGTTTCTCCACATTCGCTAATGATGCAGAGCATCTTTTCATTTGCTTATTGGCCATTATTATATCTTCTCTGGAGAAATGTCTGTTCAGATCCTTGGCCCATTTTTTAATTGGGCTATTTGTCTTTTTATTACTGAGTTAAGTGTTCTCTCTATATTCTTTATACAAGTCCTTTATCAGATACATGATTTGCAAATATTCTTTCCCATTCTGAGAATCTAATTTTGGGGGGCATGTGGTTTTTCTTTGGTAATATCATAGAAATATCAACTCTTTTTTTCATTAGTAATTCTCTTACAGTAGCTATTTTTGTCATGATCTTGTATCCCAAACACGTATCAGTTTGTTTACAATTAAAGTTAAAATAGTTGTTTACTTTTGCTTACTGTGATTTTTACTATGAAATATTAATTGATTTGCATGAGGTAAGTGTATCATTGGAATCTATCCTGTGAAATTATCCTTAATAAGCCATTGACTAGCCTGACACTTTAAAACGTGAAAATATAATCAAAATAATGAAATGGAATACCTTCAATGCCATGTAACAAGGGAAACAAATAATTCTAAGTGTCAATCATGAAAACAGTTAGTCATATAAGCTTAAACCAGTACTCTTCCCCTTGCTTTTATAATTGCCAGAGGAGTTTAATTTACTTGTTTTCTTTATATTCCTTTACTAGTTTCGATAATGGATAAGGTGAAAACAGTTTTCAACAGTGCACAGAGATTGGAAGTTGTTAGAAACTGCATCTCATTCATATTTGAAAATAAAACATTGGAGACTGAAAAGGTAATAAAATGCTATCTTTGCCACGTGTAATTCATCATTTCGCTTTCAGATTTACATGTTTAACTTGCTAACTGACCTCTTTAATTTCATCCTTTTTCTTTATCAAGTGTTTTGATGAATAGTGTCTAGGATGTAAAATCTTAGCCAAACCTAATTACATGGCTACCAGACAAATATTGAAAGTCATTGTTTCCCTCAAACTTTTAACATTGTTCACTAAATCTTATTTTGGCATATTACCTAGGAACTTAACATTTTAATTTTTCAGTTACAGTTCACATACAATATTACATTAGTTTCAGGTGTAAAACATAGTGATTAGACATTTCTGTAACTTACAAAGTGATTACCCTGATAAGTCTATTATCCATCTGACACCATACATGATTAACATTTTAAATATAATTATATTTCTGGCAAAGAATCCGGTTGGATAAGTGGTATTCAACTTAAATGTGCCTCGTTAAAGCAGATTTCCTTGCCTTCTTTAATAAAACACGCTAAACATAATGTAACCTTTTCTTAGTGATTCGTCATAGTTCTGAACATCTGTTACAAAGGGCTAGTAAAGCAGGTAAGGTTTTGACCCTTAAACAAATGACCCCCAGCCTCTTTCTGTTTTGAGGTTGTTCAGTTTCCCCTTTTTCCTATGGTTGAAGTGTTACAGACTTTCTTTTGTTCTCTTGTTTCCAGCTGTCCCATCCTGTTTCTTATACCTGCCTCTAAAAATGCCATGCCCTCCTACTCTCAGGCTTCTTCCCTTCTTATTTGCTCCTTCGTTCTGGTTTTTAGGTTTTCAAAGTTAAATAAAGCTATTCTTATTTTATGTAAAGCATATTTACTAGGCTTTGCGTGGTGAACTGGAAGAGGCATTCTAATGAGTAGTGAAATGATGATTTTTAACAAATAAACCTAAAGATATCTATTTGTTGCTCTGAGTCTTTTCTCTTTTTTTTAATTATGATATTGTATTGAGAAGAGATTGTAGAATTTTCCAGTCATAAATTAAAACTAGTGATTAAATTGCTGCCCAGTTTAAAAGTAGCAAATCACCTGTATTTCTTGTCATTTTAATTTTCCTTTCTATTCTTGCTGTGGAGACATGGCCGGTTATTGAAAGAAGTGATCTGGTGACTAGAGTTTTGATGAGTTATTTTAAGTGTAGTTCATGTTTGTGTTTTAATTACACATAAACTAATTCTGCTTATTTTTCATGCTTACACATAAAAATAACTAAAAATCCTGTATTTTATAGTTGTCCTCAGTAGTGAAGCTGCTCTTTTCCAGGAGTTTAATTTACTGATAACTGTTAAGTGTCTTACAGGATGCACTTAAACTTTCAGTGAGATTACGATTAATTTTCCCAGTGGTGCCTGTCGTTCACGTCTGCCTCTCTTGTCCTCAGACCCTTCCTGCCGCACTGAGAGCCCTTAAAGGAAAGGCAGCAAGACAGTGTCTCACTGACGAGCTGGGTTTGCACGTCCAGCAAAATCGGGCAATACTAGACCATCAGCAGTTTGACTACATAATAAGGATGATGAACTGTACTCTGCAGGTAACTTTTAGTCTTTTCAGATTATTTTTCTTACTTGTGAATACTTTTCTTTTTCCCAGAAATTCAGTAATTGCCGATAGATCAAGTCTTGAGCCTTCCACAGCTTACAGGATGAAGAGCCAATATCCATCCCATTTCTGACAGAAACTCTCATTTATTACTTGGCATAAATATTGAGAGTCTTTTATTCTTTGTTTTATCTTGAAAAACAAAAACAAAAAACAAAACACTAGGTTATCTTATTGGTTTTATAAGCAAGCTTTCTGAAACCAAACAGCCATCTTGAAAATATTTGGTTATATTTTACTTGATGTGTATATTCATGCCCTTTTTAGACAGTTTTCAATTATACTATTAAAGCAGAGGGCAATGAATAGTCAATAATCCAAATGATAAATGAATTACTCAGTTAAGTATTTACTAAGCACTTTGTGTGTGTGAAGCACAAAAATGTGTTTCTAGTTGGCTTCAAAAGATATGTATGAATTTACAGAGATAAACTTTCCACAAAATCATGAAGACATAATTAGCAGGAGCAAATAATCTGGTTTCCCCATCCTGACTTGCTTGTTAGATAGTCTGTGACATTGGCATCATATTCTTTGCAAGTGATGCAAAACCCTCTCAAACTTTTTCCACAAGCAGAAAAAATGTAATAAATGTAATTAAATATTAAGATTTTAAAGATTAGCTGTGGGACTCAAGAGAATATAAACAAAATGCATGTTAAATTCTGGAAAGTGATAATTGCAGGGCATAATTAATAATAAAATTAAGTATATTAATTAATGGATGAAAGAAGACCTAAAAAATGGAAAGATGCATCATGTACATAGACTGGAAGATTCAATATTATAAAATTATAACAATCAGTTTTTCTCAAAAGAAGAGTCACTGCAGTTCCCATCAAAATCCCAACTGGAGCTCATCCACCTTGACTCAGTGGTTGAGCATTGACCTGTGAAACTGGAGGTCATGGTTTGATTCCCAATCAGGGCACATCCCCAGGTTGCAAACTCCATCCCCAGTGAGGGGCATGCAGGAGGCAGCCAATCAGTGATTCTCTTTCATCATTGATATTTCTGTCTCTCCTCCTCCCTTCCTCTCTGAAATCAATAAAAATATATTGAAAAGAGAAAAATCCCAACCAAAGAGCAAAACCCTAAGAATTACCAATACACTCCTAATAGAACAACAAAGTATGGCAAAATGTCAAACTTTTAGAAACAGATGCAAACTTTTAGCTATAAGATGAGCGAGGCCTGAGAATCTACTATAAAATATGCTGACTGTAGTTGATAACACTGCATTATATAATTGAAATTTTCTAAGAGAAGAGAACTTAAATATTTGCACCCCCCAAAAAAAATAAATATGTGAGGTGATAGATGTGTTAATTAACTCAGTTGTGGGAATCCTTTCATGATGTATACATGTAGCAAATCACCATGATCACCTTAAATATCTTACCATTTTATTTGTCAAGTATACCTTAATAAAACTTTTTAATTTTTTTAATTAGCTTAAGATTGTAGTAATTAAGACTGTGTGTGGTACTGGACAATCATAAATGAATTAACCAATAGAACAGAACATAGAGTTCATAAACAGATGTACATGTATATAGAAACATGATTAATGACAAAGTTGACATTTTACATTAGTGGCAAAATGAAAAATTCAGTAAATAATGCCAGAACAATTAAGTGACCATGTACTCATAATATACGACGTATATAAAAAATTTACAGATACCTCACACTATACACTAAAGTCAGTTTCATGTCTATTAAAGACTTAAATATGAAAGCCAACCTATACAATTTTCAAACAGAATAAAGTAGATCTCTTTATGACTTTGGGGTGGGGAGATATTTCTCAAACAAGTCACAAATAGTGTTGATCTTAAAAGAAAAGATTAAGAAATGTGACTGTATTATAATAAAGAACTTTTGTTCATTAAAAAATATAATAAAGAGCCCAGTTGGTGTGGCTTAGTGGTTGAACATCAACCTATGAACCAGGAGGTTATAGTTCTTTTCTTGGTCAGGGCACATGCCTGGGTGTGGGCTCGATACCTAGTGTGGGGTGTGCAGGAGGCAGCCAATCAAAGATTCTTTTTCATCATGATATTTCTATCTCCCTCTCCTTCCTTTCTGAAATCAATAAAAGTATATTTTTTAAACACCAGAAAGAAAGTGAAAATGCAAATCTCAGAGTGAGAGATGTTTGCACAGCTTGTGTCAACGGATTAGTACCGAGATCATTAAAAATTCACAAATCAATAGGACATAGACAATTCACATTCTAAATGGGCAAAATCTAAAGAAGTATTTCAGAGAAAAGGAAACCTATTTGGATGATGTGTATAAAAAAGATTATCTTAAAAAAAGAAAAGGTGATCTAGGTCAATAATTGGAAAAATGTAAATTAAAACCACAATGTGATAGCCTTTTATAAACTATTTTGTAATAATTTAAAAATCTGATAATATCAAGTATTAATGGAACATGTAAACTCTGTTGGTTAGAGTGTAAAGTGCTATAATCACTTTAGAAAATGTAGTAAGATATAAGATAACAAGAAACAAGATAGTTTGTCATTTTCCTATGAAGCTGAATATGAATATATTTTGTGATCAGTGATTCTACTCGTAGAGGAGCTCTTCCCCATATACACTAAGACACATGCACAAAATCATTTATTTTTGGATACAACTCAGATCCCATCCAGCAGTAGAATAGATAAATAAATTATGGTATCTTGTTATATTAGAATATTATTTAACTATGAAAATGAATGAATTATACCTACAAGGAACAATGTGTGTGAATCTTAAGATAATTTTGTGCAAAAATTAAAAGGCAATTCAATTACAACATAGTTCCATTGGTATAAAGTTAAAAACAAGTAACATCTGGGGATATTTAATTTAGGACTACAATATGTGGTAAAACTGATGTATATGTGTATTAAATCATCACATTATATACCACAATTTTATTTGTCAATTATGCCTTAACAAAGCTGTGGGGGGGGGGGTGGAGAAAATCAAGGGAATAATAAACAAGTTATTCAAGAACATTACCTCTGGGGGACAGAAAGGAAGGGCAGTGAGCATAGAGATCTGCAAAGGTAATGGCAATATTCTATTACCTACTTCTTACTAGGTATATGGGAGTTCATTGTATCAGTCTTCTTTATAACTTATACACATTAATGTGTAGGGCACTGCTACTAGCTTATTTTGCAGGGTATATTTTTTTCAAACACATTTCAAAAGATAACTTTTTCAGAAATTCTAACTTAAAACCTAGTATTAAAAAGGTAATCTTATAATAAGCACTTTGTAGATTGTTTAAGCAAATTGACAAGATAAAAGATTATTCATCTTTACTGGAAATACAGCCTTACTCTTGAGAGACTAGCTATAACAGTTTATGATAACAAAAATTGAAAACAACCTAAATGTTTACCATTGATATTTATTAATTTAATTGTGGTACAGCTCTTCTTTGGAATACTATTCAACTATTAAATAGAAAGAGGTGTATATATACCTATATTAAAAAATTTCTATTATACACTGCTAGGTGGGCAAAAAGGAAGTTACATAAGGTAAATACAATACAATTTTATTTTTGACCTAAAATTATACATATATAAGTATATCATACTAAAATTCTTAACAACTTAAGTGGTTATCTCTGGCCTATGGATTAAAAGTTTTGACTTCCAATTTAAATCTTTCTTAGCTGGAAACACACACAAGCATACATATACAAGCATAATTAAATTATATAAAACATACACATCTATTTTATATATCTTTTTTAAAAAAAGATTCTAATTTTTGTAGGAAGGAAATTATCAAGCACCCTTATGAGAAGAGCACAACACAATAAATGTGCCCTAAAAAAGCCACACGTCTCTTGTTACTTTGTTACTGTTACTTTGGTACTGTTGTTATAGAGAACAAAGGAATGTGATGAATAGGTCGAGGTCTCTAGAAGCCCTAAAGTTAGGTGATTTCCTGATTCCCTATACAAATTGGTGATAAAACTACAAAAATTGTGTTAGGGAGCTTTCTCCCATTAGTACTTTCTGTGTTGTTTATTAACTGAAGAACCAAGTTTTAAGGCTTTCTCTAAACTTAATTTTAGCATATACTAGTTAGTAACTCACTTGTAAAATAGCCATTTACCTTGGGCTACAAATATTTTTCTTTGAATACGTATCCGTCTAAAAAAAATAAGATATGGATTTTTTTGCTTCCCTCAAATACATCTGGACTGATGGGCACTTAATATATCAGTATTTCATAAATACGTAAAACTAGATCCCATCTTCATCCCAGGACAGGGGTTGTTTAACATTATAGAAAGGCTCTTCTGAGTTATAAATAGGCTCACATGTGGTATTCTCATTTCAGTGGGTTATTTATTACCAATTTGGGATTTATTAGTATTTGTGTTCCTGTTGCCACAACATTACTTGTGGGGATTTAACATGACATTCTGAACATTTTTTACAAAAACATAGTTTCAAGGCAGAGAGGCCAAACATCTGTGTTGTTGTTTTAAAAAGAAACTTTAAATAAACTAATTTTAGGTAGTGATTCAAAAACTTTAGTAATTTTTGCTTTTCGTGATCTTGAAGTTGTTCTGTCTTTCCTGTCCTCAAGGGAAAATGAAATGGAGCATGAGTACTGCCAAGGGGCTATTATGTTTATCAGGTTCTTTCAATGTCAAGATAAATTTTTAAAGGACTGGTTTACAAACCTGCTGTATTCAAGACGGTATGGTACTGTCATAGCATCAACATATAGATCAGTGGGAAAGAGCACCCAGAAATGGACCCACATTTTGGGGATTTTTGACAAAGACACCAAAGCAATCAAATAGGGGAGGAAGTTTTTTTCCACAAATAGTGCTGAAATGACTGACTGTCCATATAGAAAAAAAGTAAATCTCAATCTCTACCTCACATCAAACATAAGA